AATATGGGTCTTATACAGGCCATTGTGGCCTAATTCCTTGTTCGGAGGTGAACTAAGTGAACCCATTGCTTGGTACATTTCAAAGCCCCGTCTCTTAGCACATGTTGTGAGTTTACAAGCACGTTAACTGTTTATGTTGAGGAATATGTGATGTGAATTGGCCGGCTGTTTGAACCCATCCGTTGGCAGGTTTAGAAGTCCCGACTTTTAGCACATGCTGGAAGTTTAAAAGCGCGCAAACTTCTATAGCTGGCCAGAATCTAGGCCAGTACCTCTCACTTGTCTTTACTTATGTGGTCAATAGTGGCTGTTCGTGTTTCAATTTTGTACTTGGCATTTTTAGCGATATATGCCTATTCTTGCATGTATACGAAGAGGAGGAACGGCAGAAAAGGCGGACAGAAGGATACAATCTGTTTCGGGCTTATTCGGTCTTGTTTCCACCAACCATAACCGCGCCTACCAGCTGTAACTGGAAGCTCAAAGATGCGCTCGACCACGACGTAGATAATCCACAGGTGGATCCTAAGAAATTGATCCAAGCACAGTGCATCAGTGCCTCGCGACTTATATATCCCAGCAATCAGCATTTTAATTTAAAAGTATCCCCTATCCGGGCCTCAGCCTGTGGCTAACATCTAACCATTTTTCCTTGCCTGCTTTGTAGATTCAGCCGCAAACTGTCCACTGTATGCGACAGCGTTGTTTCCGCAATAACCAAAGATGTCCTCACAAATGATCCTAGTGCAGCCGATTTTGTGGGCTCGACCTATGAGGGCCTGGTGCCCCTTCAACGCCAACTGTTCCTTCAGCGTCTCCTCGAACGGGTGCCCATTCATCATGATAATCTGCGTGTCCTCGATGAAATGCTCCAGATTTCGCAGTCAAAGAACAGTGAAATTCGTTATCGGTTAGTCGAGCTGACTGCGACCCTTTATTTATTATTTTTATTTGGAGGTCGTCGCTCTGGCAAATTCCCTGCTAATTTGAGTGTTTGTCCTTAACTTATCCCGTGTTCAATGCCTATATTCAACGTGAACTTACTTCTCTTGGCATCATTTCATCTTGCCAGTGCTCATAAACAGTAACTCCCGTTCGTCCAAAATTTTTTTTGAACTGTGGTTACCTAGACATAAGTTTTGCTGGACCATTTGTTTCACAGGGATGTTTTAATGCGGTAGCTGGGTTGTGAAGTGACGAAAATGTAATTGCTCTTGTTTTATAAACTAACAGGCTCGGATGGCGACATCCAAAAAAAACATCCCCGGACCATCTTCTACTGCATCTAGTCTTCCCTGCCTGTTAGAAATGGTGATTAAAAAAGCCAAAGATTGTAATGCAATTACTCTACTTCGACAGCACCTACCCAGTCCACTACAAACGCAATGAAGCTCTATCGGGGTTTTGAGGTTCAAAACAGTAAATTGGAAGATATGGTCGCCAAATTGCAGTAATTTTGGCGGACACTCTTGATGTGCACATACAAACCGGACCCAAGTAACACCACATCAACAGCAAGTTTTGGCGATCACTTTCGTACATCAAAAAATGTTCGGAAGTCGTCAACTGCTTTCGCATGCACCTAAGTGTTGGGGTTGTACGCAAACCGGAGGCAACCATCAGGTGCTACGTTATAAGGCCGAAACTTCGGAGTCGGACACGGCCATAGTAAAAAATGGTCTTCCGTTAAATTCCAGGAAGGCGCCTGGTCTCGTGTCCTCACTTTAATCCCTCTTAGGCCAATTGTTATACAGTAGAGTACTCGTAGCCGTGTCCTATCAACGACTGTCTTCGTGTACCGGGTCTGATGCAATTATGGACAAGGCAAATACGTTGGCGATATTGGAAGTACGCACAAACAGGGATCAGAAATAACACCAGGTCTCAGAGGCTAAGTCAGTCAATAAAACCCGACCACACCGATAAGGCCAAAACTGACACTCGAGTGCGGTCCATCACTGGCTGACGACGGCTAATAAGCCAGAAAATGGTCATTTCAGTCTGCCTTGTCCTTGCAGGCAATACTATCTGCCTAAGGCTAAAATTGTCGTATCAAATAACGATCGCGCTTAAGTCATTGTCCTCCGGCTCTGCGTCCAT